TAACGAGTGTTGATTTCGCTTTACTCATCAGGCAATTAAATTTCCCAATGAAATCCTCACATAAGACGATCTCGTCTCCTTTCTATCGTGGTTCTAAACCTGTCATCGCAACATATCATCGTCCATCTTTTGTGGTGCTAAGGCGACAACTACCCATGAAAACCACATGCCAAGTTAATTGAGCCACAGTTTAACAAAGAATTTTAATTATAAAGTTAAAAATATAAAGCTTTATTTATTTATTTGTCAACAATTTTGGTATAGTTAAATTTGATTTTAACATAAGGAGTAAATATTTTTACATTACATTACATTGACCGTTACATAATTATACAGTACATAAGACTAAAGTTAAGTGAGATTTTTTTTTTCTCTTCCAAACCATTCTTGCGAAAGTGGAATTGATTAGACCATTGTGATGATTGCAAGCGTATCCGAAAATTATCAATGTATTTAATTTATTTTAATATAAATATCTGGAACAAAAAAAAAGTACTAATCCATCACTCATTTGTAGTGTAATCATAATTGGTTTTTTCATTTTATCATTTTTACTTTCTTGTTGATATGTTATTTGTCCGAAACACGATGAATGCAACTTCGGCAGGTTTGTGGAACAGTTGGTTGTCCAAATTTTTTAATTGGTGCGGCGGGAAATAAGGTCTCACGCTCCAGAGTTTGCTCTTCAAATAAAAAACTTTTTGCTTTAACAAGATCAACTCTTCGAAATAGCGAAATAAATGGATCAAGTTGCAGCTAGTGCTTTTGTGGAATGGGTATGTTTATCTTATGTTTCTTGAGAGTTTCCTTTTCGACTTGTATTTACCTATCTCCGCGCAGGTCAATACCTTCGACGAGATTTCACGTCCCGTCTACTCTGTTCAAGATCTTACCGATGGTGTCGTCTTGTTCAAAATCGTTCGTGCTGTGTAAGTCACGTTATATATGCATTAGAGAGTTTGATATTTAAAAATGTGACGTTAAATCATTGCAGTTCTTGTTCAATAGAGATCCCGCGTGGTTCAAGTTAACCACTGATACCTGTGAGGGCAGTTGGCCTATTAAATTCAATGAGCTTAAGAAGTTGCATCAATTACTCATTCAATACTGTGAAGAAATTCTTGGACTATCCGCTAAAAATATCGAAATGCCTAATCTGATAGCTATTGCGAAGGATGGTGATTCAAATGAGACGATGAAGCTTTGCTCTCTGGTTCTCACGGTCGCAGTTAGTTCTTCCAATAAGGCGGCTTACATTGAAAAGATCAATTCCCTTAGTCAAAAGTCAAAGGAAAAATTGATGTTATCCATCGAAAGCGTACGTTACAAAATACCCATAATATTTCTTACCAAGCTACGCAACGATTAACCAACGTAATTATTATTTTGTTCACAGGTGATGAATAGATTAGGAACTTCTCAACCGCAGAGAAAACCACTAGTTTTTGTCCCGTAAATATCTAATTTTAAATCGGATCGTATATTTTTCTTTATTAACTTATGTTTGATCGCACATATAAACACAGGGAAGACGGATTAAAGGAAATCGCTGCGGAACATAGAAGGCTTGTGGCTGAAAAAGATGCGCTCGAAAAAGCCCATCAGGCCTTGATGGAAGAACATACGCGGTTGCGTCATCAATTTGTATGTGATCTGCATTTCTAGAGGATAATTCTTAAATTAGAACGCGTCTTACCGATGATCTAAACTTATATAGGATGATTTTCAAGTGGAAAACGAAGAGTTGAACCTGAAACTTAAAGAATTGAAGTTGATTACAACGCAGTCTTCTCAAAATTCCGAACCAGATCCTTTAATGAGAATCGAAATTGAAAACCTTCGTCATGAATTGTAAATATATCTATTCATTTTTTTATTTTTTTTCCAGCATATTGACACTCATTATAATTTGACCATTCGAACTCTATAGATCTCGTAGTGAAAATAAGCGCCATGAAACAGAATTATTAATCGAAAGTCAAAACGTTATGATAAATGATCTCGTCCGCAAAGTAATTTTTTTTTTTTTAAATTTGTAAATTATCACTTTACAAAAAAGTTCTTTAATGGATTTCTATTTTTCTCTCAGGTCGAACTTCTTTCTGAACTTGCCGACGAAGCTGCATTATTAAAGGGTCAGCTAGACATGTATAGAAATGCCGCTGACAAGCTGAAGAAAACGGAAAATGTTATTGAAAAATATAAAAAGAAGTTGGAAGAAAGTGCAGATATGCGAAAAACAATAAAGGTATTCTCCATAGAGAATTGAATGTTTATGTAATACCGTTATCTAATGACCGTTCGTATTTTATAAGAATCTGGAACAAGAGAATCAAACCCTTGTTGAACGTAACCGAGTAATAGAAGATAAATATCATAAAATTGCGGCATCAAAATCCTTAACAAAAAGTCGTACGCAGCAAACTATTGATCCTCAGCTCGAAAAGATGGATTTAATAAATCAAAGGAACAAATATGAGTTCGAGTGTAAGCGCCTGCAAGCGAAGGTCGAAGCATATAAAAATGAAAAAACTCGTGACATGGATAAGATACGTTTGTTAGAAGATCGATTGCGTAAATTAGAGCCAGACGACGGTATGTTCACGTGATCTTATATGATTTTTTTTTTTTTTTTAAAAAAAATTTTTCTGAGGTCACATTCTTCTATTCGTACACAGGAAAACGCATTCAGGAACCAAGAATGTTGGCAGATGAAATGAAAACAGGTGTTTCGAGGGGCGATACAATAACTAGCCTGAAGTTAAAGATTAATGAACTTGAATGCGAGTTGGCTAAGAAACGTGAAAAGGTGACATATAATTGTTTTTTTTTACAATAATGGTATAACAGATGTTTAATTGCTTTTTACCGAAATTATAGGAGGCTCAACAGGTTGTTCAAACCGAAGAGGCTGAGTGGGAAGATCAAATGAAAAGTGTCATAATAGATCTCGACGATAAAGCTGACGATTGGGAATACCTTTAATGAACTTAATATGCTACCAGCTCAAAAATTTTAACTATTTTAAATTATATTTAACAAATTGCATTCTTACAATATCACTATAAAATTCATTATTTATCAGGATTTTTCTTAAATATTAAAAAACCTTTTGACTAATAAATATTATGAAATAGAAATTGTTCGCATTTTTTTTTTTAATTAGAACCTATTAACTGTAATGTTTATCAAAAAACTAGTTTATAGAATTAGAGAATAATAAAAACATAAAATCAAATTTAGTCAAAAAAGGTAACCGATCTTAGTATTGATTAGTAATATATTAATTAGTTTAGTATAATCGTTAAACAAGTATTCGTACGACTGCGGATATACTGATTAATAAATTAAAATTTATATAATTATAAAAATTTTTTTAATTTTATATATGAAATTTATATTATCTTAATCATTAGATGGGGTTTATTTTGATTTATTATTTATTAATTAATTAATTTGTAATAATTATATTATATTGTACCTTATTTAAATTAGAAACCAAAATGATATAACGATTTTATGATTTAAATTGTTTATATTTAATAAAAAAAAATTTTTTTTTAATCAAGTAATTTTATATAATTTTAAAATTATTGTTTTTCAAATAATTATCAATATATAATTTCCAATTATTTCTTTTACAAAAATCTAACAAATAAACACTCTTTATTAATCTTTTAAATTATTATTTCAAAATAATATTTAATAAATTATCATAAAATTTTTACTTTTTGCAATCTATATTTTTTTAATTATTTTCTTGATTAAATTAATTATTAATATAAAAGAATTTCAAAAATAATCAAACATTATATTACTTTATTATTTATCAAACAAACAAATATTTAAAATTTTAAAAAAACAATTGCTCATTATATATCTTAAATTATTTTTAAATTAATTCTTTATTTATAAAAAATTTGTGATAGTTAGAAAATAGACAAATGTATTGGATTCTTTTTATAACTTGAAAACAAGTTTATATAAAGTGACTGCAGTATTTATGTGGTAATATATTTATTGATTTAAGATAATTTTAATTGGTTTTAAAACTTTATAACCTATTTTTTTTGGAATTTTTTATATATTGATTTAATAATTTGATTAAAATAAAAATTTTTATTTTTGAAATCTATATTTAACCTATTGCATGCTTTATACCTAAGAAATATTTATTTCATATAAGTATTTTTCTAATAAAATTTATTTAAACAAATTATTGATAATGCAATACAAATATTTATTTACAGTATATTTAAAAAATCATGTAATTTTTTGGTATATGAAGAAACAATTTATTTTATACAATGTGAATGATAAAAAAAAAAAATTTTTTTATGATGCCTTTTTTATTTATTTGAATTCTTGTTCTTATAATAGAAATGACTTGAAAATTAAAATAATTGAAAATAAATCATTTATTATTAAAATTAATTTTTTGAAGGTAAGTCACGCATTCGTAATTCGTAATTTTTTAATGGATTTTAAAAAATTTTATTTATTAGATTATCTGAACTCGAAATTTAGGATTCGAAGGTTCTTTAGAAAAAATGAAATAAGTAAATATTGTATATTTTAAAAAAATTTAATTATTTAATTATTCCAATATATTACATTTCTATTAAAACAAGAAGCTGGCAAATTTATTTCTTAGAAACTTAAATAATATCTAATTCAAATCTACACTCATCATGTATTTGTATAATTCCGAGATTAAAATATTTTTAATTCTAAAATTGCAATATGAATAGAAAAAAAAATAAGAATTACCTATTAACAATACGATTTATTTATTTTTTGTTTTATAAACATACGCGTAAAATTTTTAACCAGTTTTCAATGTTAAGTTTACAATCTGTGGCGGACATTTTTTGATATTTTCATGTTCTAACCACAATGCCTTTTCTACTTGCGACAAAGGACGTTTAGCGCCAAAAGCTAATGCTTGTTCTTCAGCTACACGTTCTGCAACTTCCTGTTTTGCGCGAATTGCGTAAAACTTATTGCATGCTTGTTCATAGGCCTTGTGTTCCTCAACTCCTTTTGATATTAGGTGAAGCTGATATTTAATTACACTGCAATTATTAAATTATTATCTTAGTTAACGTGAAAGTTTTTTTTCATATTTTTTCGTCACTTATGGTTGTAATGTTACCTTTCGCCATTCACTCGAGAAGGGTGTATATTATCCAATAAAATCTCATCTTCGATCGGGGATTCATTTTCTATCAAAACTTGAGGTCTTAATAATTCATAAGGGTGGTCTTTATAAAACCGCCTACGTAATTTATCCTCGGGAAATTCGATCGGTTGAGGTTTAGAAACTTTGGTTTTCAAATGTTTGACTTTTCGTTTATTATTTTCTCTTAACGAAGTTTTTTGGAATTGAAGTGGGGAACGAAGAATGCTAGGCCCAGGAGGATAAGCTTTCATAACCGGATACCAGACTGGTGGGGTTTTGTATAGACCACCTTTTAAAAGTCGCGATACATGATTATACATTGAAATGCAAAAGGTCTGAAATGTTATAACTGTATTACGTAGATCCCGATAATAATTTATGCGGACCAAACCACGGTCAGATAGAAAGATCAGAAAATTTTTGCTACGTCATCATATTATTAATCAACCAATTATACAGTATTAAAAATTACTACTTGAAATTAATTTATATATTAATTTTAATGTTAATTTTAAATATAAAATTAAAAAATAATTAAAAATATATATACGTGTATCAATTTTGTAATTTTAAAAAAATTATTATTAATTTTATTAAATTATAATGAAATAATTTTATATCAATGATTTTAAAATTCAGTTTAATATATTTATATAATAAACAAAATAATAATAATAATTTTTTAAATTAATACATATTAAATCTATTGAAATATATAAAAAAACATATTAATAGCAAATAAAAAATGGTAAACAGATATTATTTTAAATAATAATAATAATAATTTTATATTATAAAAATATTTATAATATTTAAAAATATATAAAATATTTTTTTTTTTTAATTTTAAGTATATTTTTTATTATAAAATTTATTGTTAAGATAAAAAAAAATATTTATTTTAAAGTTTTATATAATTTGATTGATTAATCATTAAATTATAAATAAATATATAAATTTAATTTTTTTTTATATCATATGTTATTTTTATTTTATTTTTTTTACTTTAAATTAAATTGCAAGTTTTGATATTTATTAATATGAGTCTTAATTAACAAAAATACAGTAATACAATATAAGATAATATTATACTAAAGCTAAA